CATCTAGGTTCATCACTGCAACCGACTCCGACCACAGCGCGTTCTAGTTACTAAAGATGACCAGTTGCCCACGCAACTGCCACTGCACATATTGCCGGACACATTCGGGATCGCAGGAGAACAACCGGCAGCAGAAAGTAGTACCTAGCCAACACGAATGTCGGACTATCTGTGCCGCCGGACAGGACGTCTCTCCCGAGGATCAAAAACACTGCATGTGAACCGTCGTCGAATACGGGGTCGTCTGCCTACAAGCGGAGATGTTACGCAGCCGGTATGGCTCCGCGAAACCTGTGCACATTTCGTTGGGCTTACCTCAGATATACAATCACCGTGCGGCGACTCAGACTGCGCTAGAAAACAAACGAACCATCCCCTGGACAGGGGCCAAGCGACAAGAAACCAGGGTCTCTGGAACGTGTCTCACCTTTCTGAGAAATATACCTATTATTATTATTATTATTATTATTATTATTATTCTTATACCTTCTAGTCAGGACACATGTATCTGTTGTGTACGCTACAGTGCATCCACTGAACCCTCAACATGACACAACTGTCTCCACTGTGTCATGCCGCAGTGAACCACCTGAGCTCCGCAGTTGCTGCGGTAGTTGCCACATAAACTCATACTGACACTAATTGCGATTTCCTCAGAACACCACCACCACTGAGCGACAAATAATGGGCCATGACAATACCTATCTTACTCTATAGTTTATGCCATTCTCTTGAGCTATAAAAATGAAGGTGTAGACGCCATGCATGGGTTTAGCTGAGTCAGTAAAAGAACTCTTGCTAACGGTTAGTCATCTTCATCGTTCGGGTCACAGTGCGGCCGTGTTAGGTTGCGCTTATTTATCTCGACTCTTAGCTCGTGTGTACGTCTGACTGTTAAGTCTCGTTAACCCGTAACATTACGAATTTGATTGGCTACTCTACACGCGTGGGGTACTATCTGCGGCGAAGGTTCGTCCGTTCCGGCTAATAATCGAAATGACTAGGACGCGTTAAAGCACACGTCCACATCAACGGATGATCCCGTAATCACTGGTAATATTTACAAAGGGCTATTTTTCGTCATTCAAGAGCAATGTAAATGAACAGTACACCATTCCATCAAAAGAGCTTACAGACGACACAATGTCTACAGTACACTTTCTTACGACAGAAATATAGAAATCGCCTGGCGCCACAAGCCGTCTTTTACTGGTGATCCTGATAGTACACTGCAAGTTTTACTGAAATACGGAGTTCTGCGTATCCATGTTCCGCTGCAAATCACATATAGTATGTCAAGGAAAGCCAACATTTTCCGCCTCACTGGAGACACGCTGGCGATTGGGAACGGGATGTTGCAAACCACCGCCTGATTAGTCATACTTCATCGTTCCTAAAGTTGTGAAGAGGATTATAAAGGCTAAGACTTCCCAGTTTATAATCTCAATGGAGCTTGTCAACCAATCACAACATGGCTATATAAAACGGCGTACTTGTCAGTCTTTCTGACTAAACTTCCTAAACCACATCACAGGCTCAATTGATGATGGTAAATCTTATAATGTCATAATCCCTGATATGCTAAAGGCATTTGATCAGTTGCCCCATGGCAGTCTTTTGACGAGTCTGGAAGAGTTCCTCATCGTTGATCCTCTAATTCCTTGGTTTTCTTCATACCTTACCAAAATTCTCAAATCCGTCAAGAGAGGTAATCGCTCTTCCTGTCGCAACCCGTAACAATTGACGGCAGTCAATTCAGTGTTCTGCAACCAGTTCTCTTGCTAAATGGTATTTTTGACATCGTTTTCAACAGTAGACCCTACATGATTGCAGACGTTTTATACACATTTGATCCTGGGACCAGGAGTCCGTAATGCGAAACGTACAAACTGACTTGAATCCACTTGAAGGATTGCGTTGCACATCATAGCTAAGTGTTTCCGTCGAGAAGAGTAATACTATCTCATACGGATGTGCTATAAGTGGCAAACTACTACCTTGCTTCGACACACTTCTGGATCGTGACAAAAAGCAAGAGATTTAAGGCTGCACTATTCCAGCAGACTTAACTTCTCCAATCATATGAACCACATGTCACCAGATTCAAGAAAAAGCGGCTTGTTTCTTAAACTGTTTCCATTAACAACTGCCAAAGGTATACTGTGCAAGACTTGTACCCAACTATTGTTAAAGTATTGTTATGCGGCAATGCAAAGTACGGTGGCACTGAGGCACTAAGAAGACGTTCAGCGTGTTCTCATAAGACTGACTCTAGGTTCTACACCGTGACTCAAGTAATCTGACCGCTGCAAACTGCTGATGCCAGTCCCGATATGTCTGAGTAGATATATCGTTTCTTTTTGACTTATTCATTGGTACATTCAAATTGCTGAATATTGTCTCCCATCTGCAACAAACAGAATGCTACCATTTCCGTACTAAAGTTATTCCCTCTACCAGTTTCAAAGTGGAGCTACAATCCGTGCGAACTGTATATTGATTTGGAATTGTCCTCCACTGTTCATTAGATCATGCGCTTTTCCTCATGTGTCCAGTGTACCTAGAAATAGACTTCTCGCAGTTCCAAAAGCAATTCAAATCTTCAAGCTGAATATCGGCAATATAGAGGTCTATCCAAAGGAATCAAGTGGCATGTAATGCTACGTTTCTAAAACATTCCGGTGGTACATTGAAAACCTTTTCTTGTTACCAAAGAAGCCGAAAAATTGCAAACCGAATTTCGTGCTCACTCGGACGATCTTTAATACATTATCACCACACCTGGCCATCGCACCGCAAGGCTACCAAATCAGCATGGCGGCTGAAGTATGTTAGATGTAGTTCTCATCCTCATTCAGCCGAACACTGTTATATCGTCTCATTGACCATCCACAACTACCTCAAGACTTATATATTTACGTAGAAACCTGTAAAGAGAGAGCCAAGCGATTTTCATCCGCTGTGTCGAACGACTCTTACAAGCTTCATTTTCAATCATTCTACAGCGCGCTTCTTCTGTTGGTTGCTATTGCTACTTCTTTCACAGATGTACAAAAGCGTAAAACAGACTAAGATTAAACATTAATGTCATAAGTAACTAGGTTCGCGCCTCCTAAAGCTGGTCTTCAAGTACTATCTTTTCTACGGAATTTCTTAACTTTGTTGAACCCACTGACGAACTATTCTAGTAAATACCCTCTCGGAGACGCTGAGTCAGTTAACATGTATACCTCCTGTACTTGTTATTACTCGCTGCATACTGCGGAAGACATTGTTATATGCTTGTGTCTTTTTTCCTCAACAACAACGACAACAGTTTAGAACTGATAGAACTGACATAACTACAGTGGTATTCTTCATTCGCAGATCGATTAACCAGTTCAGACTTCTATTTTTCTTATCTAGCATTTCCCCTGGGATTCTCTGCAATTACATCGGAAAGGGCTTCGATTAATGTTGGCTGGTTGGCGTCATGTTTTTATCAAACTGACACTAGTGCATTGGTCCGTCTACATGAATAAACATACTAATCCTTCCGGTTCAAACCACCCTCGTCTGCAACACCACTGTCGATTTATCTACCTCTAACTCTTCTGCAACAGCAGGTTACACTTCAGGCCATGTACTTACCAACATGTCACTGACGCACAAAACTGTTACTTTGCAATATTCCTGCGAACTACCAACCATCGTTTGCTCGACACCTCGCATTTAGTCTGACTGAATGACCCCGTTACATGGAGTGTACGTCGACAAATCGAAATCACAAGTATTCGTCTATTTACACGCACAAGCAACAACCACTGCGATCCCTTTGTAGTACTGTACGGCTCAACAACCTGAAACGCGTCCGGCACAATAGACGATTAAAATATTTGCATACACCTATTGTTATAATTATGCCTAAGCACGCGTTCCTCGCGTCGACAAGAATAAACTTTCAGTCTATTCAATTTTTAGCTCGTGTAGTGATAAATTTTCATACTTGTATAGTTTTGGCATCTGATTCAAGTAGAATGTGCTTGCTGAGGATTAAATCCGAGCATCGTATAGTGTAAGGTAGTGAAGATCACTGTGCCAGTCAGCGTGGTTATGAAGGAACCCATTAGTTTAATTCAACCTTTTGATACAACAAGCATCCTACACATCACTAACCACTAGAGAGATCTGGCCCCCTCTGCTTCGAGGATTTAGACCTACTGTGAAACCCCACAACACCTGTCTCCGTTCGGCTCATACATGCTTAAAGGCATCCGCCGCAATCAGCACCGAACACGACCGGACAAAAATAGATACCATTGTATGACGATGCATCTATACTAATGGGTCCTTATGCCATAGACACATTTGCCGTATGTAATGGTGGTCATTGTTACCGTAAATCAACTTAAGCCACACTGTTGATGACGGCGTCCATCTCTTTAGTATTGCTTAGTCTATCGATAGATTGTTCGCTTCGATATGGATCTACTCGTTACTTTCGCCTCTTCATCTGACTGAACTATATTTAACTGACGTGGTGGCTCTGTGTCACGTGCGAAAGGTAAACCAGCTGAGTTCATTTTAGTCGCTATGGTATTCTAGTCCTTTCGCTTCTGACTTTAACAATGTACAAACACAGAATGACAAGGAATCCTTTGGATAAACAGAATTCACTTTTTCTATTCTCACTGTATTTAAACCGAAGGACAAGTCAGTGGCTGTGTGAGCTGAAAATTTCAAAAGCTGAGCCCACTCTCTGAATCTGCAATTCGCTGCCATCTCAAGCGTTCTGGGATTCAATTTTAGGAGCTGTTTACAGTTGCACTAACATAAGATGCACAAATCAGAAATAAATGTATGTTACTATGAAGCAAGATAAATCAAAATGAGAAAAATATTTACTGCATAATTGATGGCAGACGAAACTTCAAGTGTAAATAAGGCACACAGTTAACCAATTCATAGTTGAACCATGGATATTACATGTTTGCATACGTTAGAAGCAAAACACCACTGTTCAGATAGTGGAAAAAGGAACAAGTCAGAATGATGCGATCTGTCCTCCATCGGTTGCAAGCTAAAAATATGGAAGTAAACAGTGAATCCTTGTAGTACAACGGTAAAATTGACCGGTGATTTTTACTAATAATATGTGACATTCTACGCCTGATAAATCAGATAAGCCAAGAAATACGCGCTAGCGACCACATATGTGATGGATCGGCTATCTGACAACACTCGCCAACTATCAATGAAACTCATATATACAGCGGGTAACTCCTATCGATATTTAGCGGACATACCATTTTATTTGTTACAAGAGTACTGACAAACGCCTAATCTTCGTAATATACTGATAGCTGCGAAATTAATGGTTTATGTCCATTCATTTATGGGTATATCGTCGAAATTTCCTTGCGCATCTAGGCACCTGTTGTTTCTTCAGCCGGAGGTACGTCATAACCTTGCATGATATTGGTTGAAGCGTTTCTTTTCTACAAATACGTAACACTCCATTCTGAGTTGCGATCATACTGAGTGCAAAAGCAGTTCACCAATGGTATTACAATAGTAGCGTACCATGTCATATAAATCGACACGAGGTCGGCATATCAAATTTAGGTCGCTGAATCGCAATGACCAACCATCGCTAGCTTCTAAATTATGAAGATAGGCTTGGTAAACAGAAAATGCAGCGCATCGAAATATGTTTACATATTTGCTAATATGTACTCCCATAATTGCCACCTACAAGCTGGTGGCAAACAGATTTGAATAATCGACCATTTCTTTGACAAAATTGATGGATACCAACACTTTGGTAAGCGTAACCAGTGCGACTGAGAGGCTCGAGAGACGCCGTCGTTAAATCAACGGCTTCCAGTCGACATAACTAAACTCAATATGCGATAGTAAAGGTTTTCAGACAATTTTGTCTCAGTCGTTACTACCAAACTCGTACTCTCATCCACCACCGGCATCAATCCATGTGATGTACGCCATCCCCATGAAGATTTGACCACGATTAAATATGTACAGAAATACTGCTGTAATAATCTGCTGTCATTATAGACAGATTGTGTAACAATGAACAATGAACAATGAATGAACAATGAATGAATGAATGAACAATGAACAATGAACAATTTCACTTGCAAAGCCACTTTCTAACATTTATCGCTGACAAAGAAGTACACTAGCTGGATTTTTGAGAAGGCTAAATCTACTAATTACTGAAATAACCCCGACGAATTGAGTGTTGCGCGCGGATGAGTTGACTCAATTCTCTATTCCTTTACAAATCTGCCCCTACCAAGTACGCAGTATTAAAACGGTTTAGCTCACCCTATCAGCAGACGGTCCAGTATCCGTTGAAGTAGCTGCGTTTGTAACGCGCGTTAATCTCACTGAGAAAACGCAAAGCAGCGTAGTCAAAACTTATTTGCGTCAACTTCTCCGACATTTTCCCAATTATATCATACTCTGCAAGCTTGTGTTTGGTTATCACAGAATTGCCAAACACGCGAACGTATTGACAGAGTTCCGTAACAAAACCAGCAACAGCTCGACTGTACAACTGAAATGAACAAGCAATAATGATTTATGACGGGTAAAAAAGTGATTGCTTGACAAGCCCCTTGTGCAGATTTTGAAACAAGGGAGACATAAATAACATGAAAAAAGAGGAAATTCGGGCATTAATTTAGTTAGCAAACTACTCACATGAACATTGATGTAAGTTTCCTCACGGCGTGCGCGTGCGAGTGCGCGCGGTCTCCGAGATATTTGAGTTGCTGAAACGGATCACTGCTAGGGTGGCAAATTATTGTGTATGTTTCCAGTTCGATGGATAGGCGTGAACCAAAGGTTACCAGGGCTTAGCCCTTTACAGGTTCCACAAAGTGTACAGTTTGCAATTTAGAACATAATGCTGAACGATTTTCCCTCGTTTAACCACCTTGGACCACGCTTCCAAAGAGCAATTGCCCTGGAATTTCCGCGGAAAATGAACATTTCCGACAATTAATGAACTAGCGATTAGCATGATGTCGACAGTTCACGTCCCGCTCTACAGGCTAGTGCTGTGAGTGAACATAGCTATTTTTCCCGTTGTTCATCACCCGTACCAAGTTTATCTGCGCTTTTGAAAACTCAGATATTGTGCGGATTGAAGGAGGACGCACAGAGGCACATAATAGAATCTATAATGAACTTGTCCAATCTTCTGAGTAGACTAAGAAGAAGGTAATGGTATGTCAGTGTCTTAGTATATTAGATCAGAAAAGAATCGGCGCATAGCGACAATTGTTTAGGAGCGTCGTGTGGATGCACGTGAGATCTACGTTGCAAGTCGTCACCAAATAGCTTGTGGTCACAGCAGAGTACATGGCTGGATGTGCCAAAGGTTGACTAGTTGGATGACAGCCATGCCGCTTCTTAAAAATTTGCAAACCAGTGTGAACACTGTTTTAAAATCCGAATGTTTGATAATGCGCAGCGGGCCTTAGTTGATATAGTAGTGCTGTTACCGTCTTGCCAAAGGCGCCATAAGCAGTGAACACGTGATTTTAGCACCATTCACTGTTCAATGTCCATGCGTAAGATATTCTGTGCGAATCCGCACCAACCTCAGACAACAGATGACGGGACCCGTACAGTCTTAACCAACGGTCGGCAACATGGAGAGCCTGAAGCTAACACCCAAAGCATTCGCATGCTGTGCGATCTCCTCCATCAGCTCCGCATGCTCGACTTCCTATCTAGGAAGCAACACTTAACTACACACTATTTAACTGCAGCTCATTTTTATTTATCATTCTACCTCGTAGACATACTGATGGTAGTTATTTCCCTATTCATATATTCATTTCGTTCAAATATTGCTGTCATTTATGTTCACAACTAAAGGTTAATGAAAGCATCGACAGTTCGTATTGGGAACTTATTCTCATGCGTGTCATTTCCCATCATGTGGCGAAACCCATGTATGTTTGCAGTACTGTTGTTCATGAGGTCCAATGTGTCTCTATCCAGTTTGTGGCAGTTCATACTTCTTTGGACAAACGCATGGGCATCAGTTCTATTCGCACTGCCATTGGACACGGATGACGCCAATGCATGTAAACATGTATACCGGATGAATCCGATGAGGATACTCATAGCGATTTTGCCTGGTCAATTTAGTTCAGAGAAGCGGCACATGAGCAAACCAGAATTGCGTTACTAGGACATGAAGAAGATGAGTCTATCACGAACTAATATTGACTATTTGTTGGAAGTCAATGGCAGAGTTGGTCGGTGCGAATTCCGTGGGCTGCTCAAGAGGACGGTTGTCCAGGTGCAAGAGAAGGCAATATTGCACGCGGAGAAGCGTGATGCGTCCGTTCCCACTCGATTTACTAATCCAGTCCAGTAAGGTAGCGGAGGCGGTACGTTTGTCTGTGCGTTGAGTACTAGTGCATTTCAGTGGCCAGATGCTAATTAAGCTCCACGAAGTAATTGCGCCTGACGTGCATATTGATAAGGTGCCTACCTGTTAATTACCTAGCACCTCATCCATAGCGGCTCCAGGAGACAGTTCATTTTTCTGGAAGGGACAGGATGCACTGTCCTCGTGACGGTTGTTGGTTCAAAAAGTGGTTCCATCCTTTGTGGAACGGGTTACGGTCCAGCCCCCTCCTTGTGTACGTCTGATACGCATGGTTTCCCAATTAGTCCGGAGTGTTCCCGTTCTGCTTTTTGAAGAAATGTGGCCCGGCTCCGTTGATGGTACTTGGCTGCCAACCCAATGCCTCCCAGTCTTATTCCTTCGAACTTACACTGGAAATAGGTTGTGTGGAAGGAGCTGTGGGTGGTGCAGTGCAAGCCATCCATGGTCCCTCTGTAGGCTCAGGTGTTCTATGGCTGTCCCCAGGTAGGCCACAGTGACGCAAATCCGGATAGGGATGCCGTCAATCCATGTTGAGGAAAGTGCGTCCCATGCAGACGCTGGTTGTATGACTTATGCTTCTTCACCGCATTTGGGTACACCGACTTAGACTGGTGAGCACGAAGTTTGGTTCGAGTTGTTTTGTCCTGTGTGTGACATGGCTTATATCATGTAATGCAAGTGTGGCAACGTTTCGTCAAGGAGTTTTTGAAAAGCGTTAATTTTATGGCCGAAATGACCAGAGGTAGGAGAGCGTTCCACGTGCTGGATATCCTAAAGGAGAGGAGGTTTGATCGACACTCAAGTAGATAGTAGTGCGTGACAAATTTGGGCTGGTGGCCTTTCAGTGGCATTGTGGCGTGATTACAGCACGTCGAGACTTGCGTGATTTGAGTTTATCCGTATTAGGTAACCTTCGTGATATCTCCTTGCTAACGCCAATATTCACCGCTCCACAATCCCATGGCATGCAATCTGTGCTTGTGGGAGACGTTGAAAAAACCCTGATGATTTTGGTTGTTCTAAGTTGCAGAGCTTCAAACACATCAGTGTCGTGTTTACTCCAGGCTTAGTTCGCCTAATCCACGTTGGATTTCGTGTAGGCGTTTTACAGTTGCTAAAAGATAAATGGCTGGAACTATCCAAAAGATTTCCGTATGAGTCCAATGCGCTGACTGGCTTTTTCTAATGTATTCTTTAGTTGCTTTTAGCTGGCAAGATCATCCTACCCGATTAACCTTAAGCGACTGCTGGCTTTCAACTTGGATGGCAGCATTTTAACTATTTGATGTCATACATTGTTAATATTTTCTTCCATCAATTTGGATCCAAGGTTACTTTCACTACTCTGGGACCATCCCCATTATAATAAGGTGATAACTGTAATCATGTTGTCGAATTGGCGATCACACTTTCGAGTATGAGTACTTCACGCATGAAGCACCATTCATCCCAGTCATGCTTTTTGGTTTCTAGCTCACTGGAACTCTGAAACCTAAGGATCGCTTTTATGTTATTTTGTTTGCGAAAGTCAGCAGGGTTTGGTTTGCTTTTCTTACGTTTGCTCCAGGAAACGTGTGGAAAATTACGAACAGCACTTGTGATGTTGCTTATACGAGTGACTACTAAGCGAACGGTCTCTGTATCATTTCCTGAGTGAATCATTACTCGGAGTAACAGTATTTCAACGTAGTATACGGAAATTGGTTGACTGACTTGATGCATCCTACTGGCCGGCCTAGCTTGGGTCCCTATTAGTTGACACAGAGAGGTACAATGTTTCCGATCGTCTAACAGCCTGTCCTTTAGGGAGTTTGCCTCGGAGCAGGAACATAGGAACATATAACAGTCAAAGAATTATGATATTTGAGGTACTCATGAGTAGGGGATTATGATGTAATTAACTAAGGTTCATCGCAGGCAGTTTCCCAATCAGACAGTCGTCCACATGCCCAGAAAAGCACTAGACTGCAGTTTCAGCCTGTTGGGTATCGTGGGAATGTGGACGACTATCTGATTTGAAACTGGCTGCGATGAACCACACTTAATTACATCAAAATCCCCTACTCATGAGTACATCAAATTATATCCGCCCTGCTAGTTTCTAAATGCTATGTCGTACATAGCTACTGTTAGTGGACGTCCTGTCTTTCGGGGCCAACCCTCTCCTCTGCAACGTTCGTAACTTGCATGGCAGTGGAGGATAAGACACGCTAAATCGCAGTTAGCTTGTAAATCATGACGGTCCGAAGCTGTCCCCCGTGGCCCAGTGACATAAGCTGCTGACTAGCGGTTCAAACCACTGGTGATCATGGGTTCGAATCTTAATGGATCCGATGGATGCGCACTACTGACGATGTCCAACAGACTGAAACTGCAGTCAAGTGCTTTTCTGGGTTTGTGGACGACTATCTGATTTAGAAACTGGCTGCGATGAACCTCATTTAATAATGATATTGTCTCATATTCTTGGAGTTGGAAGGAGGTGCGGTTGCTTTCTTTGTTCGGACAACTGGTGGTGTATTGGGTTTCGTGGTCGTATTGGCAGCACTAACTGAACCAAGTTTGGCAGGACGTGGGGCCACGATGGACAGTGTCCCTGTCAAGTGGGTGGCAACAATGGATGCGTATATTGTCAGTCGTTTGGTAGCATTCAATGTGGTCTGTGGCTCTGAGGAAGCATGTGCTACGAACGCATCTTTAGAGCAGCACAAGTATCAGGGTGGCAAAAAGCTGGACCCTTGCTATTGCGTTCGGCCTGACTACTCTGCTCTGGATTGAGGTTCGGTATAAGCACCGAGTTTAAAGCAGTAGTGCTTCATCCGGTTTTGGTGGGACAGCTCTCACTGAGGTTGCTTGTTCTACAACCTGTACCAGTATGTCGCACTTCCGCGCCAACACAGTTACACATTTGACAAGTGGTAAAGCCCTACACTCAGTGCAGAAACATACGGAATCTCCTGTATTATTTAGTTTCTTTATCTCGTAGAGATTGAGCCGGGTACATTCAGGGAAGAATTTTTTTATAACGGTTAGGCATTCTATTCCGAATCGCACATGTTTAACATGACTTCTACGCTATAGGCCTAGCTTTCCGTAGGCAAGTAGTGTTTGACGTTGTAAACTTCAGTTTAGTAGATGTCACTTGT